AGAGAGAGAGAGAGAGAGAGAGAGAGAGAGAGAGGGAGAGGGAGAGAGAGAGAGAGCGCCGAGGAGCTGGGGAGCGCGGAGAAAAAGGAGGGGAAGGAAAAACACCCAGGGAGAGAGAGGGGGAGCGAGGGGGAGCGGAGAGGGGGCGCGGGAGGATGAATACGGATTAAGGCTGTTTAACCACCTACATTAATGAGATATCTCTCGCCTCCCAACAAATCAAATACCTTCGCGGACCACCCCCAAAGGCCGGTGTGGGGGAGTCGCGGAAAAAAACCACGCGCGCGCGCACAGACGCGACGCGCGCCGGGCGCAGGCACCGCTGTTAATTTCGCGATTTTAACGAGGCAATTGGAGTCTTTCTAAATGTCAGGGTCGCTTCGGAAAAATGTAAAAGAACACGGTTTAATTGCGCCGAGTTTTAAAAGGTCCTATAAATGTAATTGGTATTTTAATACAAGTTATCAAATCATACAGCTTCCTCTCCTAAACATATTTTCAAACAAACGAGGTAGTCATATTTAAAGCTTTAATGATCAATTTCCTTATTATTGATAAAGGTTTAACTGTCGTGTGCAGGGAATTGGCTGGGTAACCGGCCCCCCAAAAAATGGCTGTAAACTCTTTAACAAACTATAAAACGCAATAAAGCCAGAGTCTGTTGTTGTTTATGCCGCAGCGCATAAAGGCTGTTAGCATTTTACGAGTTCTTTCCTCTACAGCTATAAAACTGCAGTTCCGTCGCCCCCGCCCGACTGCAGCACGGTGGGGTGACGAAGCCGAAATGAGAACGATTATGGGGTTTGGGATTTTTTTTTTTTTCGGCGCAAACGGTGACTTTTCTGAGCTTTTTGCCTCCTTCAGCCTGCAGGCACCTGCCCCCAAAGCTGCTCTGGAGACCCCAGCTGTGCCCTCTCACCCCGCCCAGGCCACTCACAGAACTTTGCCCTCATTAAACAAACCAGCCAGGGTTTTTTCTGTGGAGCAGGGGTCTAGGAGATCTCAGGGAGGAGAAGAAGAAACTTTCTGGCAAATGGGCAGAATTCTGCAATTTCCCACAAGCTCTGCTCGCTGGGGAGGGGGTGCTGGGGTCTCCTTGGGCCCAGTGAGCACTTTGTGGAGCAGACTCCTGAGGGGAGAGGGGGCATCAATGCCCCCAATGGGGACTACCCCACACCTGCACCCAGGCCTGGGGCCCAGTAACGAGACCAGCTGGCAGCACCTTCCACACAGGGCTCTGGTCCCAATCACACATCAAAGCCAGGGAGGAGGCTCAGAGGGGACCTGGACTCCAGGCCCTGACGCTGGGCCTTGGCCGCTGCTGTCCTGAGCCTTCTGCTGCTGTGGGCAGTGGCTGAAAGCAGAGTCCCGGGGGACAGGGACTATTATTCCCCTGTCCCCGTAGTCCACTGACCCACTGTCACTCCCTACACAGGCCTTGGGATGGGGGGAGGCTGCAGAGCCCCCCACTTTCTCTCTTCTCCCCTTGGGGAGCCTCTAGTGAACCTGGCTCTCCCTGCAGACCTGGGGACCTGAGGCCTTGGCTCCCAGAATGCAGCCAGAGCTGGGTGGAGGTGATGGAGACGCTGGGCCACTGCCTCCCGTGCCTACCTGGCCTAGGGACACCGGTGGCCAGATTCAGAAGGCCCAGCTCTGAGAGTCAGAACCCACCCAGGGCCGCCCCAGGCAGCCGGGCAAAGGAAAGGCTGGGAAGGAAAGAGAGAAAGGAAAGAACATCCCCAGCAACCCAGGCGGAAGTGCTTCACCAATCAGTGCAGTTCATTGTCTACTCAGGACTCAGTAGTCCGCTTTCAGAGGGGCACCCCATGGGGACCCCAGACACCCCAACCTTGGTAAAAATGAAACCATCACCCTTTCCAAGACCAGTCACAATGAAGGTCACCACGGTCCCTCCCAATGGACTCTACAGAGCTGGGAGAGGTGCAGAAAGGGAGAGAGAAGCAGAGGCCAGAAGCAGGTCTGGGTTTTCAGCTCGGGTTGAGGGGCTGCGGAAGCCTCCAGGGTCAACGTGTTGAGGAAGTGAACATTTTTATCAAGTGCAGGGGATTTTGTGGTCATGATTTGAGGACTCACCTGCGAGGAAGAAATTCAATGGCTTGTTCTAAATCATCCCTACACCGTGCCAGAAATCTCTGATGGAAGGAAAATGTTTCTATTATAAGAAAAAACAAGAAAGAGCGAGGCGATAATTTATAAACACCCAACGGAGCGCAGGTTTATCAGGGAAACTCAAGTTGAGGAGAAACTCCTCTGGCCTCTCTGCAGCCAACCCTGGGAGAAGGGAAATGAAGCTGAGGCTAGGCGGCAGGGAGAGGGTGGGTGGCGGGTTCTCGCGCAGGTTTGTCGGGAAAGGAGGCAGGGATCCGGCTGGGCCGGGAGGAAGTTGCAGATTTGGATCAGGCGGCCGACTGCCAGCCGGTCTGCGAGCGAAAAGCGCTGGAATCCAGGCCTCCCTCCGGCTGCTGCTGGGTGACCGAAAGACCGGCGCCCCGAGGTTCGCCTGCTCGGGTTCCCGCTGGTTTCGGGGCGCGCGGGAGCCGCCGCCGATCTCACCTGAAAGCCGAGGACAACCGGGGACCCCAGCTCCGGAGCCCCGCGGCAATGCCTGCTCCCACACCTATCCGGAAAAGGTGCTTTTTTTTTTTTTTTGAGGACCAACTTGGGGTGCGCAGAGCACCCCAGGAAATATCCCAAGCTCCCCGTGTCCCGCCGCCCTGGAGACCCTGGTCCTGCGCGGGGTTCGCCACTCCCGTCCCGCGCACACCCAGACGCGTACAAAGGCTCCGGATCCCGCGCCCATGCAGGGCGCTTCGCCATCCCGGGGCACCTCCGCATCCCCATAAAACCAGGGCTCTGTTCCCCCCAAACCTGGGCCCCGCACCCCGGACTGGCTCGCTGGGTCCCCTTTGCAGCAGTGAGGGCAGCCCCTCCCCGTGCCGCGGGCCCCTCTCACCTGACCTGCTCCCCCGCTTCGTGGACGGCTCTCTGCCCCCCTGCACGAAAAAGCTCATTTTTTCCAAACCAAGCTTCCTCTTGATTTGCACCCCATTATTCCTATTATTACTATTATTCTCCGTTTTCACGCATTCGTTGCCCCACCGAACACAGCAACTGGGCGAGGAGCACTGCGTCCTCCTCGTGGGGGAAATTCAGAAAATTGACCATTTGAGGAGCGGTAGGGAGGGGGACATCACTATAACCGAAACCTATAAAATGGAGGGAAAGGGCTATAACGATCCCTATATTTTTATTTCGTGCAAATTATTCATGGCTTTTGGTACCGCTCGGTTCTTAGATGGAGGGCCGCATAAGGTGCGGTACGGAGCCACCGGAGTCGCCAGCCTCGGCGCCCGAGATTTTCACGTGGAGCAAGGGTGCCATCTAGCGGCCGCTCTGTAAAAGGCGCCCGCGGCCGGCTCCAGGTTCTCTGAGACCCAAGTCAAGCAGGCAAACCGCCAGGAGAAACGTTGGCTGTTAGCAGAAAAAGAGGGAGGAAAGCGGAGAAGAAAAAGGCATAGGAATCAAGAAAGGGTTCTCAAAATTTTGCAGATGACCTAAAAGAAAAAAAAAAGGAGGAGAAAAACAAAAGAGGCTCTATGCTTTGCTTTTTTGGTTCATTTCCTACTTAAACCTTCCCTGGCCCAGCCCTGCACTGCTGGCCAAGGAGCGCGCCCTTTATGGCCTGCAAAAGGGAGAATCAGAATCGAGCACTTTTCAAACCCCACAAGACTCCCTCAAATTCCGAGGAGTATAATTGGGCTTTTTGTGGGGAGAGGGGAGGATGGCATGGGCTTGTGAAAGGGTCCAGAGGCTGCCTCGCCCAGACGTCTGGCCCTGGGACCTGCGTGTGTGTGTGTGTGTGTGTGCGCGCGCGCGCGCATGCACGTGCGCAGGGACTTCTGGTTTAGGACGCCTGATTCTGGAGGGGGTGTGAAGAACAAAGACAAGAGTCCAAACTGCCATCACGGAAGCATTTGTGGCAACAAAGTGTCCCTCCTTTTGACCTCTCTGAGCTCCCCCTTTTGGGCCCTGGGGACCCCAAGCCCCAAGCCCGGTGCAGGGAGGGAGGGGTGAGGCCAGAGCCACCCATTCCCTCTGCCAGGCAGAGCCCAGTCCAGCGGATGCACTCTCAGCTCCGGAAAGTTTCCCCTCTCTGTTTGCTTTGGGGCTGTTGAGTTTCTTAACCTTCAGAAATTTATACGCTATAAACTTTTATAGCGGTCATATTCTTTTATTGCTGCCCACACGGCATTGAATTCCTTTCCCGGCCTCTCTCAGCCTCTCTCTCGGCCTCCCTCTCTGAATCTCTCTTTTATGACAACTGATTTCCCCATCTCCGGCTTCCCAGCCTCCGCATCTTCGCCTTTGTTTGTCCTGAAAGAAGCCACTCCCAGGTTGGGGACCCGGCCGGCCACCGCCCGCCACCCGAGGCCACTCCGGTGCCCTCTGCCCCACCACCAGCGCCTGCTACCTTTCCAGCCTTGCCTTTTGCGTTTCCTTTCGGCAGAAACTGGCCTTTTTGGTTTTCTCACAGCGCCAGCTGAGCCCTGGGAGCTGAGGATAGAAGTCAGCCTTGTCTAGACCCGATGTAAAGCCCGATCCACTTTCCATGCCTAGTAGAACCCTCCTCGGTCAGGTCGGGAGCTTCGAGCCTCCCTCAACTCTGATTCTCTCCCACTGGGGCATCTTTTCGTTAGAGAGGGGTAGGCCAGGCCCTCAAAGTCTGCTGTATGGCAGTCGGCCTCTGTCCCCACTCTGTCCCCACCCTGTCCCCACTCACAAGGTCTGGAGGGCTGCAGTGTGGTGGGGGAACCAGGAGAGAAGCTGAGGCAGGGGGATCTAGTGGCCTGGGTGCGAACCAGCCTGGGCCAGAGGCTCTGAGGAGAACAGCAAGGTGCCTCGGAAACCAAGCTTAATTCTGGGGTCCGCTTGGGAAGGCCATATTTTTTTCTCCTGAGGCACCATTCAGCACTTGGCTCCCAGCAAACCCAAGGTGTGGGACCAAGCCCGCTGTCTGTCCTGCAGCCCCAGCCCAGGCACTCTCGGTTCCTCCAGTGGAGCAGCCCCAGCCTCCCCAAGCCTCTGTCCACCGGCACTGCTGCAGTGGATGGAGGGAGGTTGTCCCTTCCTCTGGCTGGGCTGCCAAGGTGGCAGCAGCAAGGAAGCCCCTGCAGGGCCCTGGAGCAGCAGCCTGTGCCTTCCTTTGGGTCCTGGGGTGGCGACCGCTAGGGCTCCGAGACCCCATTGCTCCCTGTCCAAGCCCTGGCTCAGTCCTGCACTCTCCAGGCCCCATTCTGGGGGTGGCTCCAGGACCCTGGGCCCTGGGCCTGGGCTGGCTGTCACTGCCCTGGAGGAACAGCGCTGCAGAGAAAATGCTTTGCAAGGCCTGGGGACCTGGGAACAAGGTCTAGGGAGATGCCCAGGGGACACAGCAACCTCTGTTGTCCAGTCTGGACCTTTTTGGCAACTGGGGGCTCTACCTCTTGTCAGGCGGAGGGGAGGAGCAGCCAGCACAGAATAAGACTCGGAGAGGTTTATTTTCTAGAGCGATATATATTTTTTTGTTCTTTTTTTCTTTTCTTTTTTTTCCAAAACAAACAATTAGAGCTCTAGGCCCCTCACCCTTCCCACCCCCCCTCCAACCCTCCTACAGAAGCCACAACTGAAAACAGGCCAGACAATCACCCCCCAAAGAAATCACAAAACACAAGCACAATTTCACAACAGCCACCACAAAGCAACAGAAGTTCCACTGGGAAGGCCCCCTCGAGGGTCAGGACAGGCAGGGTCGAGTTTAGCAACTGGGGGATGCTCAGAGGGGCCGGGGAGGCAAAGCGAGCTTTGCTTGAGGCCCAGGCCTCTCTCCTTCACACCGGGCACCAGCACTGCCGCACCCCAGCCCAGGGGGTCCTCCGCAGGCTTGGGGGGCGGCAGGACAGGTGAGGTGTCAGGTCTGTGCTGGGGCCTTTGTGTCTCCCTGGCCCCGACACTAACTCCAGAAGGGAGCCCCAGAATCGATGCTTCCGGATCAATCCTTCCTTCGTGGGACTCTCCTTCCCTGGCTTTCCTGTCTCCAGAGGGGCTGACCTGAGGCAGTGGGAAGGAAGTGGGGGTCTACAAGGGGTGCGGCTGGACTCACTGGTACAGGGGGATTCTGGCACGGCAGCAGCGGGATGCAGCTGGAAGGGGTAGGAAAATGCAGGGCTGCTGGGAAGCAAGAGAAGCTACAGTCCAAAGTGGGGCAGGCAGGGAGGGAGGAAGCCGGGCTGAGGCATCACAACTCGGCTTGGCCTCCTTTTGTTGGGAGGACAGGAAAATAGCATGCGGAGTTCAACATTTCCTGCAACACAGTGTGAGTGGGTACCCCCAGGACACCCTCGTACAGAGCCCCCCCCCGCTGCTCTTCCCGGGTCCCTTGGAGCCCATCGGCTTGGGGGAGGGTTGGCCCGGGTTTGGGGTGCAGTTGGGCACTCCGTGGGGTGCTGAGGCCTGGGGCGGGCAACACCTCTTTAGGGTTCTGTGTCTAGACACCTTCTGGCTGTGCCAGGGGGCAGGCCTGGGCCGGCCTGATGGTTTTAGGGGCACACTTTTGCTACCTTGGTGTCTGAGGTGCCCCTTGGTTTCCTTTCTGTTCCGTTCCCCATCCTGACTGTGGGCTCCCAAGGCTATGCCTGTGGCGGGTGCTGGGCTGTGTGCAGTCGGGGTGTCCTGGGGGGCTTTAGACAGGAGCAGGGGACTGGAAGTGAGGGGCTGGGGCCTCCCAGGAAAATCACAAGGGGATGCTGGGAGCTTGACTAGGGTCTCTCTGGCCTGTGGCCGCCATCTTCTTAGCAACCAACTACTTCTAGCTTCTAACTGAACCAAACTTTCTCCTGGCACCCAGAGAGAAGGGGAGGACACACGAGGTGGGGACAGGGGAGGGCACAGGCGCTGGGTGCACTGAAGGACTGAGAGGAGGGCGCCCTTCCCATCACCAGAACCCGTCCCAGGCAGTGCTGGCTCTGCAGCCACCACATAAATAAGGGCGCGGGGGGCAAGGGCCAGGGGTGGGGACCCCCCAGGGGGGGCCTTTACTCTTTGCCCTGCTCCTTATTCATTTTCTTCATCTTCATCCGCCGGTTCTGAAACCAGATTTTGACTTGTCTCTCACTGAGATTGAGGAGTCTGGCCACTTCGTGCCTGCGGTCCCTGGTGAGGTACATATTGAACAGAAATTCCTTCTCTAGCTCCAGCGTCTGGTATTTGGTGTAGGGACAGCGCTTTTTCCGGGAGGAGCGGGCGTGCAGCCAGTTGGCAGAGGGGTTGGCTGAAAGAGAAGCAGCGATAGAATCAAAGGAAGCAACGGGGTGAAGGACCCCAGCTGGGGGAGGAGGGGACTGCACCCCTGCTCTCCGCTCCCCATCTTGTATTGGAGAAAGGGCACCCAGGCTTTGGGGCCCCAGAAAGAGTCCCAGAGGCGGGGTAGCAGCTGCTCTGGACAGGTGGAAGCTGGGAGAAAGTGCAGCAGCCCAGCAGATGTGCGTCTGCGCCTCCAGCACTTCGGAGACTTCCGGCCTGCCCTGGTCCTGCCCTCCATCTTTCTTCTCTTGGGGCCAAGCTGGTTAGGACTCTGATCAGAGCACCCCACCAGCCTGGCCAAGTGCGGGAAAAGACAGGTGGGATCAGCAGGAGAGGGGAGCTGGGGTCTGGCCACAGCCCTTCCAGCAGCCCCCAGCACCCTGCCTGAGCACACGCTGGCATCTGCCGGCCCCTTGGAGGCATAGGTACCTGTGTCCAGACCCACCCTCCTTGCCAGGGCCACACACCATGAGTGTGGGTCCACATTTAGATGCCTGAACATCCAGCGCTCTGCAATTCACAGCGACCCAATGCAACCATTTATCAACTCCAGCCCTAGACAGGGGCGCGCCTCCGCCACCACCAGAGGGGGGAGGCTCCCAGATAACTGATGGTTCCAATAGACTCCTTTTCTGCGGCTCAGCTCCGCAGTTTGGTTAATACAAGTTCAGGGAAATGGTGGGGGGCTTGCTCCAGTCCCAGGGCGGGGACAGACAGTGGGACTGCAGCAGCAGTGGGGAAACCGAAACCCCTGTAGCACACGTAGCCTTCCAAGTGGCCCTGTGTGTGGAGGGGGAAAGAGGAAGAGGTGATTACGTGGAAGAGGGTCAGAAGAAGAAGCCAAAATATAGGCAGGCTTCTTTTGCTCCTTAGCATCACTCCCAGATCCCTTGAACTCTGAAAAGTTGCCAAATAAAAGCGGAGCCAACTAAAAATAACACCCACGCTCTACCAGCTTCCTTCTCCCCAAATGAAAACACTGGATTTTTTTTTTAAATTCAGTTCATTCTACTCTAAGTACCACATTTTACCAATCTGCAACACTATTTCCTTAATGGGATTGCCGGGGATGGAACCCGCAGCTGCATTAAATATGAAGGGGGGGGGATGTTAATAATTGATCCCAGCCAAATGGCTGCTTTGCAATCACAGGTTTTCCAGGCAAGGTTTGGGGCCTGTGTAGCGGGTATTTGGGGTGAGTGCTCCAGGGTCTGGGCGGGGGGGAGGCTGTTTCCCCAAATGCCAGCTCCTAAGGGTCAACCTGGCAGGTTGGAGAGGACAGGACCGCAGGGGCCCCAAGGGAAGGGGCAGCTCTTTACTCTCCAGCAGCCAGGGACAGCTGCTGGCCACCCTGCTGGTGGGGGGACAAGCAGAGACACTCCCTGCTCCCTCAAAAGAGCAGGGTGTGCAGACTTTAACGGCCAGACTGAGCATCATTGTTTGGGGCCAAGAGCTCCCAGCCGAGTTGCCCTCCTGGACTTTAGACACGAACGCAGAGAACCCCCCTTCTCGCCGCCGGTGCCGAGAGCATCTTTCGGAAACCAGCCAGACCTGGGGTTCTGCCAGGGGCGCTTTGGCGACGAGTGGGAGGTGACGAGAGAAACTGCCCACGGCAGGGGAAATTCTCCGCCTCTCCCCACTCTCCCTCCCCGGGGTCCCCTGCTCGCGGCGCGCCGGAATTCGGAAGTGATGCCCGGCTCCCCGCGAGGCCCGAGGCCGGGTAGCCCCGCGGAGAGCAGCGAGGAGGCCGCGGCGACCCGGGCGGGCGAGGGCCGAGGGGCGGGGGCCGCCGCGGGGAAGGCGCCCGGGGAGGGGCGGGCGCGTGGGGAGGGGCTCGGCCGCCGCGTCCCGGGTCCCCCGCCCCTCTGGGCGCCGGCTCGGACCCCGCGCACGGCCCCGGCCAGATCCGCCAGGCTGCATCTTCCGCCAAGCTGTTGCATCGCAAATAAAACCCTAATGAGCCCCCTCCCGCCCTGGGCGGCGCTGACGGCTGCGCGTGGCGGGGGCTCTGCCAGCCGCGGTCCGGGCCTCGCTGCTCCGCGCCCCGCTGTGCAGCTCTCCGCCGGCTCCGACCCGGGCGGGCCTCGGGACGCAGGGGCCGGCCGCGCGAGGGTCCCGGGGCGGCTCCGTGTCCCCTTCCGGGGCTCCCAGCTGGGCCTCTCCTTCCTCCGGGCCTGGCTGCCTCCTCTCTGCTTCCACCCTCGCCGCCTCCCGGGCCACCGCCGCGCTCGCCCGCTCATTGTCCCGTTTATGGCCTCTCGGCCCCCTCCTCCTCCTCGGGCCGCAGCGTTTCCTCCTCCTCCTCCTCCTCCTCC